GGGTTTAAGTGTGCTCTCCAACAGTCTCCTGAAGATTTCACATTCAATTTAGGACTGTTGGATAATCGCTGCATAAGCTGTTGATTTTGGAAGACAAGGAGGAGGGTAGGACTAATTTGGAAACAGAAGAGAGGAGATATTAGATAAGTGGAAAACACGTTGGGAGCAGAGTGTTTTATGTTAACGTTTTAAAGGTCAACGTTCGTATATATACCTAACATCAGAAAGAGACTGGAACAAGATTGCGAGATGGGCCATTATGAAACGCATTTTTGTCACAAATTTCCATGCGATTCTGTGAAGATTTCACCTGGTGGAAGAGGAAGTATGTAGATGTGGAGAAATAAAACCACGAGTCACGTATTTTTAAATTGCTCACTTCAGGAAACAAATAGGAGAGAACAGGAATATGTCTTGGATAAGATATGCCTAGAGATGAGAAAATAAAACATGATGAGTGACAAGTAAGCAATTGAGACGTTTAGAAAAGTAGCTAGGGAAATAGGAAAAGACAAGGGATACATACAGGCATTAAAATTTAAAAAAGAAACAAACAAAAACTAAGAAAGAAAAGGGATGAAAACTTGCCCATGAAGGGGAGAGGAAAGGTTAGAGCGAATCTCAATGATCCCTATCGCTCAGGACGGTGTGGGGAAGGGAGTCGTGTTTTGGACACACAATGTGTCTGGAAACCCCAATGCAGCTATGAGTAAGGCTATTTTTGTAGAAAACACTATTTACAATAAATGTTGATTATATCGATCTATTATGTACATCTTTAGTATTTCCATAATCTTTGAGTCGAATATTTTAAAGTCATCAGAAATTATGACTGTTATTCGTTTTAAAATAACAATAACGCCTGTAATACTTAGCAATTGCTCTAATTCGAGCAACAGGTACACTAGTTAATGTTAAGTAGGCTCCCACATTATTGTTTTTGAAAAATCACAGTTCATTTGACAAAAATAAAATGGAAGCAAAATAAAGGAATGCCGATCAAAGCTTCAAGGTCAAGCTATCCGTTTGCACTTACAATCGTCTGAGAAAGAATAAGCGATGTTTTTATGTCATTGTTATCTTTATCAGTGTATTTTACGACTTTTGTTATGCTATAAGTAGGCTACTATTTTTTTATAGTTTTTATGCGTTATCTAATGTTTTTATCGACATTCTCGACATTCTTCTGTCCTGAAACAGTGTTGCAGTAACCTATGACTAGCAGCTTACTATACTTTCTATTGTTCTGTTCTTTATTTTGCTGTACAATGTTTGGTAATTTGTTTGTTTGAGTAAAAGTTTGAAAAAGCTGTGATTTTAAACGTTGACATTTTTTATTACTGAACCAAGGTTAATGACGTAACATAATTATCATGATTGCACAATAGCTTACTAATTGTATTTTTACAATGTAATATGCAAATTATCACATTGAAGTCCGTTTAGTTTATGAGTTGGAAATAACTGTTTTATGTCATGTTGGATTAACCGTGGTTATCAGTTATCCGTGATCTGTTCAAAATACAGTTTTACTAAAATTTTTACTACAGTTTTTTGAAATTTTTCCTCTGATAATCCGACCTTTTTGCTGTACCGACCATGCTCCCGGTCCCGTAGGTGACAGATTAGCGAGGTTCTACTGTACAGGTTCCCAGGTAAAACTACCATTACTGCCACCCCTAGTCACTATTTCGACAGCCCACTAAATAGGAGAAAAGGGTACTGCCTCTATTCTGATGTTAGCACCACATTTTGCCCAATGCCATGGGCCATTACAGAATACTTCAGATCATGCTGCAATAGGTCTGTAACCTGTTGGTACAGAGAATTACCTACAGGCACCAATACATCACCAGGGATGGATAAACAGTTTCATCAAATTAATAGTCTTGTTTTGCTTGATTTAGATGAGATGAATAATCTTTACTAGTGGCTTGTAGGGACATAAGTCCCTAAACAGCTCAAATGTAAAACAAATTATCGTAATATTTAAGCAAACTCACAATCAAATTGTATATACATGTCAGGATAGATATCCCAGTATAACATATCTTTTGTGTATAAAAACAGTTTGCTGTTTGTCTTTGTTTGTTTTTGTTGATGTTATTTTTAATTAAATACCCCCGCCGCAGCAAACCTGCCGTCTAAGCGAATTTCCATTTGGCCGAATTGATTTTCAATTGATCTATTTAAATAACATTAGGTTTAACGAGTACCTAGGTTTGCTGCTACAAGGAAACTAATAAAGTAGTGTGTTTTTAGTAAAATACTGATAGCTTACTATAAAATAAATAAATTTGCCAAGTTTGATCAAAATATATCCATAAACAAGCAAACTACAACATTTTACAATATTCTCCATAAGAATAACATGGGAATTTTAAATTTACAATTTTTTTAGTTTTCTCCGTAACCAATAACCGTACAAAAACACTTTGATATACTGAATTGTTTGTTTTTTTAAGCTCTTTAAGAAGGTTTAGAGAACAATTGGGAAATTTTGTGTTTTGAGGGTAAAAAGTGAGAAAAACCAATTTTTACCCCATAAAACCCCCCATAAAACCCTGTTTCCATGGTCCGATCATGCTGGATCGCGAACTCATTCAAGTTTATCCCGCCTTACACCTTCAAACCAAATTTCATCAAAATCGGATAAAAATTACTCAAGTTATCGTGTTCACGGACACATATATATATATATAAATCTATATATATATATATATACCTATATATATATATATAAATCTATATATATATATATATACCTATATATATATATATATACATATGTAAAAATTTGAACGAATGGTGTTTTTGGCCTCTGGGGACATTAAAATGAAAAAGTAAATCGGTCCCGGGCCTAAGTCTTACCATGAGACCTACGGTAATAGCTACTTCCCTATAGGGAAATTCGCTAAAATGTATTGAAATAAAACATTTGAATGCCTCCAGAGGTTTAACTCTGCTAAAGGTGAATACAAATATTGGTTTACTAAGTTAGCTTTGGTCTTTTGGTTAATAATGATAAAAATGCTTCCCTGATTGAAATATTGGAAATTGTCTTCGTCAAATATAATACCCCCGCCGCAGCAAACCTGCCGTCTTAGCGAATTTCCATTTGGCTGAATTGATTTTCAATTGATATATTTAAATAACATTAGGTTTAACGAGTACCTAGGTTTGCTGCTACAAGGAAACTAATAAAGTGTGTGTTTTAAGTAAAATAATTATTGCTTAGTATAAAATGAATATATTTGCCAAGTTTGATCAAAAGATATCCATAAACAAGCAAACTACAACATTTTACAATATTCTCCATAAGCATAACATGGGAATTTTAAATTGACCATTTTTTTAGTTTTCTCCGTAACCAATAACCGTACAAAAACACTTTGATATACTGAATTGTTTGTTTTTTTAAGCTCTTTAAGAAGGTTTAAAGGAAAATTGGGAAATTTTGTGTTTTGAGGGTCAAAAGTGAGAAAAACCAATTTTCACCCCATAAAACCCTGTTACCATGGTCCGATCATGCTGGATCGCGAACTCATTCAAGTTTATCCCGCCTTACACCTTTAAACCAAATTTCATCAAAATCGGATAAAAATTACTCAAGTTATCGTGTTCACGGACACATATATATATATATATATATATATATATATATATATATATATACATATATAAAATTTTGAACGAATGGTGTTTTTGGCCTCTGGGGACATCAAAATGAAAAAGTAAATCGGTCCCGGGCCTAAGTGTTACCATGAGACCTACGGTAATAGCTACTTCCCTATAGGGAAATTCGCTAAAAAGGCAAATAAAGGTGTGTTAAGATAAGCTTAGTTATTGATCATAACCGCTAAATTAGCACCCCGACCCAGTTATTATTTATAAGTTTATACTAGTTTTGTAAATGTTGAACAAAGATTAGTGTAAAGGCATCCCATTGACCAAACTTAACCCTATATTTGTTTCTGATCAACATAAAAAAAAATTACTATTAACCTAGTGTAAGTTTATGTGGTGGTATTCCTCCTAAAGGTGCGGTTACATATTTTTATCAAAAAAGGGCCTAATCAACGCCTGATGCCTGATTTTGTGGATGGTTAGGGTTCCACTACCCAGTTATCGAAACCAATCATGAAATTACTTTTCATCAGCATCTTCGACATGCATATTTTTGGTTAGTTTTAAGAAACGGAAACTACTTCTAGGTTTTACTGTTAATTTTTATTTGGATGCTCCCTTTCCTACCGTGCATGCTAGACTATATTATTTTAACCTTTTTTGCTTGGAGCAACAGGCAGTACCTGGTTTAAATCTCCTCTTAACAATATTGTTTTTCCGCCCAGGATCTTGGCACATTACTTACTTAATGAACTAATTAATTAATACTAACTAATACGAACCTATTTAATCTTTATTCATATATTATATTAAGACTAAAAAGTCTTTATTGTTATAGGTAACATTATCCCTGGTTTATATAGTATACAGTACATTGCAGAATTGACTGGCAAATAAGTAATCCAAATGTAATATTGCTTACTGGCTTAATGATAAATCACGATCAGCTGTATTGAAGTAAACAAAAATCAGCAGTAAATGGGTTCTAATGCTATTCTTATGGAGAACATTTTATGTTATATCTAATTTTGTGTTAAAATTTGGGGAATTTCACTATTTTTTCCGCCGTCACGGGATTGAGACCTTTTTCGAGCCCTCTCCCGTCGTTCTACGACTTCCCAGTCGCCCACAATTTTGACGCAAAGAATCGGCTTACGTAATTAATATATAGATTTATTATTCATTCAGTTTCCTTGTACACTGGCAAACTATTAAAATAAAGGTACTATTAGTGTTTATAAGTAAAGTGTTTTGAAAAGAAGATATATGGGTAACAAACAAGTCTTTAAATTCAAAAGACTGAGTGTTAACTAACAACCACCTACTGGAGACCATCTAATTATTTTACTTATTGAAATAAGATCAATGATTACCGGTTTGAGTTCATCAAGATCACAGTGGAGAAGGACTTTTCCGTTGATATTGTTGGATTCAAACACTTTGGCATGCTTCACTACGCGGGAACCTTGAGATTCATCAATCTTGGAGAGAAGTTGACAAACTCCCTCAGTAGACAATGTTGACAACCTCACTTCCAACAACTCCACCTAAAAAAACAACTAATTACATTGATTTACTAATTGACAAATAAACTATGCATCTGAATCATAAGAACATAAGACAAATTGCCTGATATAAAATTTCAAGTATAATTGAAGTAAAATGGGTGAGGTTCACAAACTCCAAATTCCACCAAGTCCAAAAACCTACATCTATATATATATAAAATCCAATGTATGTTTGTTTGTATTTATGTATGTTTGTTTGTCCTTTATGGACTCCGAAACCCCTTGACAGATTGTAACGAAACTTTCAGGCATTATTAAGTATTATTCAAGAATGGTTTGTGTGAAGTTTGGTGCAGATCCGTCAAAAGGGCACCCCAGTGGCTCTGGAGTTTCCCATGTTAACCTTATAAGTACTCATATTTAAATGGAATTAAAGAATCTCAACAGCTGGTTCAACTAAACTATTTGATTCTGTGATGTTCAATAGTATAAAAAGTCCATAGATTTACCAACAGGGTGCAGCAGTACTGTATTATTTTTTAAATTTATGACAACAGCTAATTTGCTACTAAAGGTGAGTGAGCGTAGCGAACGAACTTCAACATGGAGGCGAGTTAGCGTAGCGAACGAACTTCAACCAGGACGTGATTGATCCATGCGAACGAGCTCATCTTAAAAATGAACGAGCATTTGACATAAAACCACATTAGGACAGGACAACGTCTGTCAGGCCAGCTGGTCTATATACTGTATATAAAATCCAATGTATGTTTGTTTGTCCTTTGTGGATTCCGAAACTGCTTGACAGATTGTAATGAAACTTTCAGGCATTATTAAGCATTATTCAAGGATGGTTTTTGTGAAGTTTGGTGCAGATCCGTCAAAAGGGCTCCGCCCCAGTGGCTCTGGAGTTCCCCATGTTAACCTTATGAGTACTCATATTTAAATGGAATTAAAGAATCTTAACAGCTGGTTCAACTAATCAATTTGGTTCTGTGATGTTCAATAACATTAAAAAGTTAATAGGTTTACTAACAGGGTGCAGCACTATTATTTTTTTTAAATTTATGACAACAGCTAATTTGCAACCAAAAGGTGAGTGAGCGTAGCGAACGAACTTCAATCTGGAGGCGAGTTAGCGTAGCGAACGAGCTCACCTGAAGGCAAGTGAGCGCAGCAAACGAGCTCCAACTTAAAGGTGAGTGAGCGTAGCGAACGAAATTCAACCAGGACGTGATTGAGCCATGCGAACGAGCTCATCTTGAAAATGAACGAGCATTTGACATAAAAACCACATTAGGACAGGACGACGTCTGTCGGGCCAGCTAGTGTTAAATAAACTCCAAATTTCACAAACTTCAAATGTACCTATTATATTTAAATAAGCAGAGTGTTTCACTAACTCCTGTTGTATAATATGTTGAATTTAATATTACTTGGATTTGTAGCAGCTGATTATTGAGCAGAGCGAGCGAAGCTCTTATACGTCGACTCTTATGCATTTCGTAATACGCAAACTCCTCCTAGACGGCTGAATTAATCGTTTTCAAATTTTGTATGGTGATAAAGACCATATCGATGAGTGCCAACATCTATATGGCGTTAAAAAAGTCTCTCAGGAATCCGCCCCACTGGGTCTCAAAGTTTCAATTTAATCCTTATGGAAGCAGTATTTGACACATAAACAAAGACATATGATCTGATCAGCTGTTGACTTTTGAATGCAGTAGATAAAGAAATAGCTGATAGACACAGATATTAGAACAGAAACATTATGATTCATAAATATATTAAAATGACGACACTAGCTTAGGTCCGTGACGTAGGAAGTGGTAAGGAAGTAGTAAAGGTGAGCTGTCCGGAGTGTGGGAACTGTTTATGACGATTAGATTAAGGTATCTACAATCTTAAAATTCTTTGGGAAGAGATGTAAACAGGTCCACGACGTAAGAAGAGGTGAAAGAAGTAGTGAGGTGAGCAGTGTGGAGTGTGGGAACTGGAAACCGTTTGTAGCAGTTAGATTAATATATCTGCAATGCTGAAATGCTATGAGAAGGGATGGAAGCATGCCCACGTCATAGAAAATTGTGAAAGAAGTAGTAAAGGCTAGCAGTGTGGAGTGCGGGGAATGTTTGTGGCAATTAGATTAACGTATCTAAAATACTAAAATGCTATGGAAAGTGATGAAAACAGGTCCACGGTGTAGGAAGTGGCTTAGGAAGTAGTAAAGTATGAGCATAGTGTGGGAACCGTCTGTGGCAGTTAGATATCTTCAATCCTAAAATGCTATGAGAAGGGAAGGAAACAGGCCCCACGACGTAGGAAGTGGTCAAGGAAGTAGTAAAGGCTGGCAGTGCAGAGTGGGGGAACCGTTTGGGCAGTTAGATTAAATGCAATGAGAAGGGAAGGAAACAGGTCTATGACGTTGGAAATGGTGAAGGAAGTAGTAAGGCCATCGAAGTATATAAAACAACTGGAACACCGGGTAGATAGGAGATTTGGGATAAAAAGCGCGCCGTTTCAGTAACCTTCCTCCACCACAAAGGGGGACTCGACGCAGATATGCCAGTTCCTCAAGCCGTGCACGCGGTTGTTGATACGCTCCTGGCCGTGCATACAATAGGTTGACTGCAACTAAAGTTATATATTCGGAATCTGCATTAACTGCAGAATCTGACAGTATAAATATAATCTTATTTAAATCGTAATTCGAATTTTAACAACTAAAAATGTTAAGCAAATATCACACCTTGACATAAAAAAGTTACTAAGCGAGGATTTTTTTATTTTTTGGTCAGAAGCAAACTTCAAGCGACAAAATTGTAGCTAATGAGATGATCTTCAGCATGTAACCAAGCAATTTCAAATAACATTTTCTAGTTGTGTGTTATGGAGTAATTAGTAACGCAAAGAGGTTCTTTATAAATCGCGCCGCGGGCCGTCCTCCCTGGTTCCGCTGATCTTTTCGTTTACGGTAGGCCTACTCCCAGAAACGTTTTGAGTACAATCAATAGTTATACTAAATACATTTTTATTTCAGGTAACACATAAGTACATATGAGTTACAACTGTGAACTGTGTTACAACTACCCCCCTTTGTTTAGTTGTAACAAGGGAACTTTTAATATCTGCTTTGTTGGGTAATTAATGAGAAATTTCTAATATTAAGGTTCAAAATTCAAATTCAAATTTATTTATTTGTGATAATACAAAATCTGGCCTCGCCAAGTTTGCAAAACTTGTCGGCGAGGTCCAATTGATTCACAAAAATGTAACAAACAAAATTTACACATTTTTTTTTTCTTTTTCTTTTTACAAATATAAATATTCTAGCGCTACTAATTCCATGGCGGTTTGTGGCAGGCACCTATCTAAGCTACATAATAATGGCAGCAGAAATGTAAAATTCTAATATGGTTTGAAAAAAATTGCTGATTTAAAATCAATGCTTCATTCCGAAGTCTTTGTTCTCCTGGTTCATAGACCAGGGGTTTCTAAATATTGAAGAGGCAGTGTCTAACTGGAGAAAAAAAAAGTATTCGTTTGTTTGTCGTTTGTTTCTTGTTTCCTGAAAATTTGATGAATTGAGACATAACCTCTCATTAAGAAAAGTTATGCCCATGCAGGCATTTATTTATACAAAGCGGAGAAAAGGGTTCAAGGTTCAAGGTACAAGGTCCAGAGCAAGTAATTTAAAAGGTCATAAATACTATACCTAGAAAGTATTTAACGTAAAGGCAATAACAAAAATTGAATAGTAAATTTAAAAATCAAATTGTTGTGCTCGTTCCTTTGACAATAGGGGTATTTGTATAATATTGCAAAGACACGATTAGTAAAAAAAAAATGTTTTGAGTGTTATTGCTATTCTGTATATATTATAAAATTCATATCATCACACATAAGAGAAAAGGGGTTGGTTAATAATACTAAACTGAACTTCTAAGAATATGTATTAATGTCCACAATCGTGCTTAAATACATTACATGTTGTGGAACAAAACCAATTTCTTAAATCTCTGTCTTACACCTAACTTATTTTTATTATATTCATTCATAATGTTTCTCGCATTGGAGAAACAAATGGTTTTATAAAATAGTGTCCCTATCAGTTTCATTAGTTTCAGCGTGACTTTCGTCAGAAATGTCATTGCTTGAAACATGGTTTGTAAACAAATTTCCTTGAAATTTCATGCATGCTGATAAAGTGCATCCACGAGAACAAAACTTAGGCGTATCTTTATTTTGCAAGAACTAGTGATGGGCGGATCCAAGAAAATGTCGGTACCGGATCCGGATCCGGATCCTCGGATCCAGATCTTCGGATCCAAATACAAATACACTTTTTTTCTTTTTTCAAGGGTGGGTTTTTTAAGTAAAATAATTCATATGGCCAGGCAATGTCAAAGACTAACTGTGTCCATATAAAAACACTTAATATGTGTCGTAATTAAAAATAAAGTCATCACAATTCTACGTTGCGCAATGATTATCTGATTATCGATCGATACGAAAGAGACAAACTACTACCTATCGCGTTGTCTTTTTAACACAGCCATTCGTATCGTAATCTACAACGCAGTGCGAGTGCGTGATTGGCTAGTCGCTAGGACGATACACAGTTGCCGTGACAACCTACAGTGCGCACTGAGTACCAGGGCCAGGGATAGTAGCTAGTCGCCACTATCCACGGCCCTGCTGAGTACTGCGCCTTGTGTGGGAGGGAAGATTATACCAACAAACTATTTCAGGAATTCCATTTTGGGACGGATGAAAGATAAGTAAGAAACAAAAAGTGGTCACGTGTGTAAAATGTAGTGGGCGAGACAATAAGGCTATAAAGAGTATTGTCGCGTCGTTGTTCCTTGTTTGTTTACTTTTTCAGATTCCCTATCAAACGCCCCTATCTGCTATCTCTCTCTCTCTCTCTCCCCTCTCTCTCTAACAATGTACTGATTAAACAGATTGTGGTTGACGACCTTTCTACTTCCCTGCGGTTATTTTAGTTCAATCAATCCCGCAACCTTTCTATTGCTTATCAAAATAATTAATTAATCTGTTTTGTATTTTATTTCCCTTAAACCAACCCCTATTTACCATCTGTATTTTATAGAATAAAATGTTTGTTTATAAATCACAACTGCAGTGGGTGATTGTAACAGAGGTTTAACAGAGGAAGTGCTAAACTCGCTTTTCCAATGTGTCACTTTCTGTTTCTACTCACCGTGTGATGCAATCGCTGGACCATACAGCCAATAGGCCCATAGCTCATATCTTGGGTACGTAAGCCTACATATTTATTCATAACAACCTTTTTGACGACGATCCTTGATACCGGTACTTTTCCATAGAATACATGGCCTACCTACTTAAGAAATATAATTACAAATGACCAAAACCCCAACATTGTGTGATTTTCGTCACATTTCCTTCTAATGTTAGTAGATATACTAATCATTGTTTAGAGAATGCGTAATCTATTAAGTAACAAAAAGTTGTTTGGGTAAGGTAGTTTTTTTTCAAACTGACACCGATCAGTTTACGCTATAATTTTTTACGAGAAAATCCAAAAGCAAGAGATCGATAACCTCGGGACTAGATATTAATGTATTTAATTGGTCGGATGTACTATAGTTCTTAGGTAGGTTCTTACGTAGGTACTGGTTCTTTTCCTTAGAACCGTTGGTAGCTGCTAGAATCATTTTTACGTAGGTACCAACACATCACTGTAGTTTACAAATTAGTTATCGTTGGTGTTGCACCTTATTTATTAGAGCCGTCCGTATTCAATTTAAGTGATGTCTTAACTCTGTATAAGTTTTGCTTTTTCTGTCTGGATTCCAAATCTTAGCTTACGCGGTATGCTAAGAAAATGATAACCTATTTGAGTAAAACATTTGTTGGGCAAACCATCATGAATTGTTTACGCCTTTATATTGTTTAATATGTATCAATAGTTCGTGGCCTTTTTTGGATTGTTGTGTGTATGTCTGTTGGTAACGCATTAATGTCCTTATTTCTCAGTGTTTCACGGAATGGACAAGAGCACCTTTGATACTGAAAATGTCAACCGAAATAAAGTGTTAAATGGTGAGGTTGAGGTATTACTTTAAATACGTTTAAGTTAACCGATGTGGAAAGTAACTTTCAATTATAGGCCTACTTTAGGGCTACGCTTCATGGATCTATAAAACATTTTTTAGTTTAATCATTGGACATATGGACCATAACGATCTGGGTGACATTTAATTGCGAAGCATTTATTTTGGCTTGAACTGTCAGATACTGTATTTGCGAAGGTTTATATATAATAGTTTTGCCAGCATATCTGCAAATATGCAAACTAACTGCTGTTCTTAATCTTAATATAAGAAGGTTTCAACTGACTACTATAAGATCCCCGTGCGTAGAACGGGCACACAGCTAGTTTTGTATAAAGTAACAGTTACTTTGATGATTGATTATATATATATCAATGACAATAAGTGCTGCGTGCTGTAATAAATGCTTTTTCTTATCAAAATAAGTAATGAATTATTAATTTTTGATAATACATGGGTCATTGAATACCATAATGTCATGTAGTTTCCTATTTGTAACTTGCAAATAATAATAATTGATAGTTAATTCTGGAAAATGAAAAATAGTGAATGCATTCATAACCCTGTTGTCAAAACAGCAACGCGGGTGTAAGGGTTTATTGTTTCAGAGGCTAGGATGTTTCAAGGACAAAGTGCTGGGCCTCCCGGCTCAGGGGGGGGGGGAGGGGTGGTGGTGAGACTGAGAGAGAAGAGGGGGAAGGAAACTGGTTTTTTCTATTTATTGATTAGTTCACTGACCCTTCTAGACAACAAAATTGAGTGACAGTGACAGTGTTAAATCACTGTTCTGTATTTCATTTCTTGTTTACTTTGTGTGTTATTCTATTAATTTTAGTGTTTTGGTCTATTTCCTCCTAGTCCCTTGCAAATTGTATTATCAATGCTAAATAATTGTGGTAAATTCAAATCTATATATATAAAAGGCAAAGCCCTCACTGACTGACTCACTCACTCATCACTAATTCTCCCACTTCCCACTTACCTAGGAGGCTGAAATTTGGTACACTGATTCTTTAGGCATTAAATAGGAAAACTAAGTGGTTTTTATTCTGATCGGACTCTCGGGCTCCGCCCCAGTGGCTCTGGAGTTTCCCATGTTAACCTAATAAGTACTCACATTTAAATGGAATAAATGAATCATAACAGCTGTTTCAATTAAACAAGTTGGTTCTGTTCTATGATGTTCAATAGCATTAAAGTTACAAGGATTACCAACAGAGTGCAGCACTATTATTTTTTTAAATATTTGACAACAGCTAATTTGAAACCAAAATAGCGAACGAACTTCAACCCGGAGGCGAGGTAGCGTAGCGAAAGAGCTAACCTGAAGGTAAGTGAGCGCAGCGAACGAGCTCCAACCGTAAAGGTGAGTGAGCGTAGCGAACGAACTTCAACCAGGACGTGTGAGCGCAAGTAGTTTGTATTAACTAGACATATGGATGGTAACACTTACAGGGAGAGCAGTGGAGACTCCTACAGGCATGTGGAAGAGCCCCGTCCTGACAGGTGGTGCTGGGGTGGTCCATGGAGATGCTGTAGGAGGCCAGGCATTCATCCCAGGGTAGGCAGAGGGGACTGTGGGGACCGGTGGCAGAGCTGACGGAGGGGCTTTGTGAAGGGACTTCTGCACAAGTGTTTATGACAATATGAATATACAAATGGGTAACAAAGCTAACATCACATTCATTTACCGCTGATTCTTCACTTTATACATCTTGTTGTACTTGCATTGTAGTAAATCAATTAAAAAAAGAGAGATGTTTACTGATTCTCCCTTACTAATAAGAAAGAATAAAAACTGAGCTCAATTCAAAACTATGTTAAAAGCAAAAGCTTTAATGTTAACCTGTAGCCCAGTGTGGAAAAGGGATTAATTCTTCCTCCTTTTGAATCTTATTTAACATAGTATAAGTATTTTGGTAATATTGGATTAACAATAAATAACATCAAAAATACCATAACAGAGAGTAAATTAGGTCAGACACAGACGGTTAATGGGGATAATAACTACCGGTATGTTACTCTCAGTTATGGTATTCCATTTTTTATTTCATAAAGTTTCAAACATTCTGAACAAAAGAAACTATAAACTATCTTACAGGACTTCAAACAAACTAGAAGGCATTTCAAACAAAGGGTCACTAATAAAAAATGAATATTAAACATGTTTAAATATTAAACCGTGGATAACAGACAGTTTGGTCAAATCAATACGTACTAGAGACAAATTAAGTAAAGCTGCACGCCGTCAACCATTTAATGATAATATGCAAACTTATTACCGGAATTACAGACAAAACCTGAGCAGTCTATTAAAGAGAGCCAAAAGGCATTTTTACAGGGAAAGACTCAACCAGTACAGTCAAAATCCCAAATTATTTTGGGGACTGATCAATGATCTTGCTGGCAGATCATGTAAGAAAAACTCATTTCCAATTGAAAAGTTCATTCCTAACACGTCTGATCATACGCAAGCCACAAAACATGTGATTGCAAATGATTTTAACAACTTCTTTGCTTCTGTTGGAGAAAATTGATCAAATCAGATAGATGCAGGTGGTACCCCGGTGGTTGTTGACTCTGACTACAGACTGGACTCTACTTTTACATTGAAAACTGTTTCTGCACAAGACGTACTACGACATATCTCTGGGCTGCGTGGTGGCTCAGCTCCCGGTCTGGACGAGGTCTCGGCTGATTTACTCAAACAAAACGCACTCATAATTTACATTCCTCTGCTACACATAATCTAACTCTACCGACTGGTATATTCCCGGCTCAATTTAAAACAGCAAAAGTTATTCCTTTATTCAAATCAGATGATCCAAAAGATAAAAACAATTTTAGGCCAATCTCATTGTTAAGCGTATTTTCCAAGGTTTTGGAGCGTATTGTTAAGGAACAGCTAGTGGAGTACCTTCAAAGTAACAATATACTATCTAATTCACAATTTGGGTTCAGAAAAGATAAAAACATCTCTGATGCACTTTTTGAAGTTTGTAAATCTATAAATAATTCAATGATTAATAACAATCGATCTATGTTAATGTTTTTAGATCTAAAAAACGCATTTGACTCAATTGACAGAAATTTATTGCTAACAAAATTGGAACAGATCGGTGTCAGAGGCACTGCTCTCACATGGTTCAAAAACTATTTATCTGACAGACATCAAGTGGTTTCCATCTGTGGTGTGAATAGTGATGCAAATTCAATTGAGTATGGGGTTATTCAGGGAAGTACTCTGGGGCCTATACTTTTTCTAATTTATATAAACAAAACAACATTTCTAAACTCAACCTAAATGGTGAACTGTTTTTATTTGCTGACGACACTTTAGTTTTGATAAAGGGTTGTTCATGGGAGGATGTCAGGTCCAAAGCTCTTGGTGATCTCTCAATTCTAAAGAAATGGTTAGATCAAAATGTGTTCTCACTTAATGTAACCAAGACTAAATTCCTTCCCACATCACTCAGTATCAGCACTGATTATAATCTAGACAATTTGAAGATTCATTGCTGCGGCAACCATAACAGTTTATCTTGTAATTGTGAGTACATTGAAAGGGTAGATTATTATAAATATTTGGGTGTTTATTTTGACTACCGAATGAAATGGACAGAGCATGTAGATTTCTTGAAGAAAAAGATTCGTAAATATATCTATGCTTTTAACCAATTGAGTGAAATTTTAGAAGAGGATGACGTAAAGCAAGCTTATTTCGCTTATGTGCAATCTTTGATTTCATTTGGAATTATTTGCTGGGGAGCATGCTATCACACCACCTTGGAACCCTTGAATGTAATTCAAAGATCAATTTTGAAAGTTGCTTTTAGAAAAAATAAAAGGTACTCCACTGATGCTCTATTCCGTGAGACGGGAATACTACCGGTCAGACATCTTTTCATCCAGTTCCTTCTTAATCACACATTCAAAAACTCAAACACGATTCTTACAGCAGTCACACATCAACACTTCACAAGATACTCCCACAATGTTAGAATATCTGTTCCTCAGCTACATAAATCAGTTCTAACTACCAACTGCTTTTATGTTTCTCAGATCCTCTGTCGAAATTTAATTCAAAAATATGATATTCAACACGTTTTTAGTTTACCCTCATTACAGAAATTCAAGAGTCATATTCTTGTTTTACTGCACTCCATTACCAAAGAAGAGGCCGAGACTTTGATTAGACCAAACCATACTTGACTCTGACTAAAAATCCTTGACCCTCATAAATTTTTGACAAACATCGTGCCCCCACCCTCCAAATGTCTTTTTTTTTATTAAACTGGCTTTGGTTGTCGTCGCCGACATTCTCAACCACATTTCAGTTTTCTTTTAAATAATTAAGAAAAAAAATCACCCATATTCAGTTTTTGCCCTTAAAATTTCGCAGACTGATAGCAACCAGGCCTACGCACAGGCACCTGCCCATGTAGGCCTATCCCATAAGTATGGCAGATTCATTTAACAGTTATAGTTGTACTACTATAGTTATTCTTGCTCTATGTTTGTATTTATCTGTATCTTTCTGTAATAATATTGGGATAAATAAACGTATTTCATGTCATTTCATGTGGTGTATATAAAATAGCCTGCAATGACTGACAAATTCTATATTGAACAAATTAGAAGGTCTTTAAAAACATGGTTTAGTAAAAACCTACTCAAAATCAACATAACTCAAACATCAAATTAGGCAGATCATTTAATTAACCCTTACCCTAATAGCAATCACAATTATCTATATTATAAAAAGGCAAGCAAGATTTTTGTTCGCAAAACTCCTCCTTGGTTTATCAACCAATGTTGTTAGTTTACGGCTCTTTTGAAAGATCTCATTGAGTAGATGTTGTATAAGATCTGACATGCTTAAAAAGTGTCTTAGGGCTCTGCCCCAGTGGCGTTTAAAGTTCCAATGTTTACCTTTTTTCTTTACATTGATACAAGCTTTTTCTTTTAACAGCTGGTAATATTTTTATATGTTTACGTTGTAATGAACCCAAATAATATTTGTGTGACTACATGGCTTAAGTAAGTTTATTTTTATTTTTTATTTTATTACACTATTGCCTGCCTTTTTAATACACACTTCTTTAGCACTCTTCTCTTTTATTTTAACACATGCCACATCTTCACCGGGCAAATATTACTGGTAATCGTAGCGGTACTTTGCTGGAGTTTCATCTGGACTCCGTGTACTGATTCCAAGAATTAACTTGCAACCCGTGACACTGTGCTCTCTATCGCATTGGAACGGACACAGTTCTTTATTATTCCACTATTCGCAATGACCATCAACGCAAGGACAGTCAATTGGCAAAATTGGAGGGCATCTTCCGAAACCTGTGATTGAACATGGCCAGCTCTACATTGCCGCCAGTAGAGCAAGGCCTTTTGCTGGGCAACGGTTTTTCATAGAAGACATTTCCGAGCAGGGTCGCTTAAGAAATGATCTTTGAGTTTTCACTAAAAACATTATTTATCGTAAACTGATTTGAAATCTAAAATTTACCGTTAAAGAATATAAAATGTGTATTTATTACACCAGTGAGTGCAAGAGTTAGTTCCAGATCCATTGTAAATTAAAAAGCTTTGACGTACACTGAGAATTGGAGGTAATGGAGAAGAAATGGAGACTAATGACGTGGCATATCGGTCATAGGCAATGCCGTCCTTCAGTATGTTGAAATAGCTACATTTGGAAACTGTTCTACGTAGTTTAATAAACTCGCACAATAGTGCCACACCGGGATGTTCTAGTTCAACATTAAACTGTAATCTACAAAATCCCTCTATAGATAGCATAATGAAATAACAGTATTACAAACTTTTGAAATCTATAAAGCAGTAAAATCCAATAGCAACAGTCAAGTTGTCTTTGTGTTTTTGTATTAATTTAAATGTCTTTGATTTTAACAGTCCATCTGTAATTTCCATCACATGACTATATGTAAATCTCCATTGTTGCATTAATTCATTGTGAATTACCTCTCATAAAAACATGTACAAATTTTTTCCCTCATAAAATAAACCTCTTTTATATCAAAACAAAACCTCTCAAATTTTCCTCTCTTATATTATAATTACACTGCACAACAGCATTTTGAACGACAAACTAAATGGTAAAGATCTGCGGTGCACTGGAAAAGTTCTGGCCTAATTACTGTCATCGATTCAGTATAGCATTTTCCTCTATACAAATTTGGTTCAGTATAGCCTACAATATTATTAATTACTTTCAATTCACTATCATGGTTTTTATCAAGTCAAAAAATAAAACTAATGGGAAGTCAGATAGCACAATGGATATACCTAGTTACCACACAATGTGAGCAGGGGGCCAGCAGATGTGATGTAAGCAAGAGTTCTTTAAATGGGTTATCAAAGGAATAGGTAGTTACACTGGAAGTATCATTATGTATATTGTTTCATTATACAGTAGACTCTCGCTCATCCGGATTGGCCTTGTCCGGATTGGCAGTCGTGATTTTTTTTAGCGGCACAGCATTATCATATAAACTCCGGATCGGCAATTGTAATTTTTTTTTTAGCGGCACAGTACGTATAATCAAATAAAAACGGAACTAACTTTACGTTTCAACGCCTTCATTTATA